TTTTGGAAAAACTTTATTCACATAAACCTTTCTCAGACTCAGTTTAAGATCAAGTTTATACCCTTGGATATACCATTAACTCTACCAATTTAGAAGAATAGATAATTATTCCTAATCTTTTTTCTCATTGACACGGATAAGCTTGGAGATTTCTAGTTTTCCCATTTATATGAGAATTGTAAAACAAGTGAACAAGTCTTTACGGTATCTGGATCAAATGGAGTGACTATTTCTGCACCTTTCCTGCACTGCTTTCCAGAGTAGAGTGACGAGAGTCAGTCTCTCTGCCTATTTTGTTTACTTTTTTAGATGTGATATAAACCTCCTCCCCTTTGTCCTTGGAGTAGACTTTTGGGATTTTTTCTTTCTGTTTTTTTTTTGTCAGTAGTCAAAAGTTGGATGCTAAATGATTCAGAAAGAAAGGAATTGAGAGTAAGAACTATGATGCAAATATCAGGTCTAAAAGGAAGAGATAACTCAGTGGTCCTTTCTTTAGGAAAATACCTTTTATTTTTAATGACAGTCATTTGTTGAGTACCCACGTGCCAGATACTTTATGTACATTATCTTATTTAATCTACATTATCCTGAGAGATACAAATAACTCCCTCCCTCCATTTTACAGACAAGGCGCCAAAAGATTAAACAATTTGCTTTAGCCATATGCCCAGTAAATAGCAAAGTCAGGATTTGAATGTGGTCCAACTCTCAAGCTCTTTGTATTGTACAAGCTGCTTACTTTGGCCTAAGAGTTAGAAAACTCTTAGGATTGACTCTGAATTTCTGGTGAGTTGCATTAACTTTCTTGGCTCCTTCCTTTCTTTATCTGTAAGATGAGAGGATTGAGCTGGATTTTTAAAGTGAATTCTGACTATAAAATTCTGTGATTCCTGAGTTCTTTATTGAATTGCAGCAGAGACTATATAGAGCTTTTAGTAGTTCTCTTGTGTGCAGCCAGTTTGGGTTGTAATGAGTACTGTTAGCATGATGATTTTTCACACCATCGCCCTGTGGAGGTGCAGGAAGGGCATAGCGGGAGCATGGGTTAACAGAAGGTGCACTGTGTCAGCTGTAGATCCACAAAAGAGAACTTGGGAGTACCAGAGCATGGCAGGCATGGGCTAGAGACTGTGTGGGTGGAGCCTGCTATTGTCTTCAGACAGCAACATCATTTAACCTCGGAGGGTTATTGTGCCCCAGTGAGTGAGTCTGTGTGTGTCTGGCATTGGGGATTGTGCTAGAAGGTACAATGATGACTCAGTTTCAGTTCTTTTAGGGCCTTATAACATTTCCAATTAAATGAGAGAGAGAGAGTTATAGGAGGAACACAATGGTTATTGACATAGGAGAGCTAATGAAATGACATGACATCAAAAAGAAGCATCATTATTGCAGAATTTTTATTCCATTTATAGAGTACGTTTTTCTCTGAAGGTGCTATACAAATAACATTGAGATAATAGGCCATTTTAAAATGTCAAAACGCTGAAGAATAAGAAAGTGGCTAGGAGAAATAAATACCCAGAAAAGAAGCAGTAGGGGCTGTAGATCGCTGGTGTGCACAGCAGGTTAGTGATTCTTTGGCTAGACCCACGCGCTCACCATTGGTGCTGTCAGTGGGTGGAGATGACGTGGAGGCCTTTTCTTGGACCAGTTTAGTGCTTACCATTCTATATCTTGCAGTTGTGATTGAAGACCAGGATTCTGGTGTCAGATGGACCTGTATTTAAATCCTGATCCTTCTGTTTACTAGCTCTAGGAACACATGACCTAAATTTTCTGAGGCTCAGTTTCTTCATCAGTGAAGTGTTATTCATTATACCTCCCTTGTTAGGATTGTCCTGAGGATTAAAGTAAATGAGTTATATACATAAAACATTTAGTTCAGTGCCTCGCACGTGGTAAGTGCAACATAAATACTAGCTATTGTTATGCTCAGAATATGTCATAACAGTGATTCTGAAGAGGTTATAGAGCATAATAACAGCAGCTTCTCTGCAGATCAAAAGATAAGATAATGTGGAGTCAGGATCTTCTTTTTCTTCTCTGACTTAGGGTAATAAAGTATAATCTGTACTTTATAGACTAGCGCTAGATTTTTTTTCTTTTGAGGAAGATTAGCCCTGAGCTAACTGCTGCCAATCCTCCTGTTTTTGCTGAGGAAGACTGGCCCTGAGCTCACATCTGTGCCCATCTCCCTCTACTTTATATGTGGGACACCTACCACAACATGGCTTGCCACATGGTGCCATGTCCGCACCTGGGATCCGCACTGGCGAACCCTGGGCCTCCGAAGCAGAATGTGTGCACTTAACGGCTGTGCCACTGGGCTGGCCCCAGCATTAGATTTTTTAAAAATGAAGCATAAAAAGACTATATATAATAATTTTCTTTTCTTTTCTTTCTTTGTCCCCTCCCCCCTTTTTTTTTGGTGAGGAAGATTGGCACTGAGTGAACATCTATTGCCAATCTTCCTCTTTTTGCTAGAGGAAGATTGTCGCTGAGCTGACAATCATTAGCACATTGTCCCTGTGCCAGTCTTCCTCTACTTTGTATATGGGACGCCACCATAGCATGGCTTGATGAGTGATGTGTAGGTCCACATCTGGGATTCCAACTAGTGAAGACCTGGCCACCGAAGCAGAGCATGCAAACTTAACTGCTATGCCATCTGGCCAGCCCCAATATGCGTAATAATTTTAACAGTCATATACTCACCACAGCTTTAAGAAATAGAAAATTACACATAGAATTGAGGACCTCTGTTTCTCCCCCCACCTCAGATAACCACTATCCTGAATTTGGTGTCATTTCCACATGTTTTTATATTATAATTATGTATCCATAAACAGTATATGGTATCTTTACATATTTTAAGTTTTATATAAATATTGTTATACCATATATATACTTCTGTAGCTTGCTTTTTTTCTCTCTACATTGTTTTTGAGATTATTCTATTATACTTGTCCCTTTATTCATTTAACTACCATAGAGCATTCCAGTATATGAATGAATATACCTAAATATACCATTCTAATCTATTCTGTGTCAGTGGACATTACCTATAATTTTAAATATTTCTGCATACGTCTCACCTTCACACCCCCCTCCCTCAACCTCTAAGAGGTAACCATTACCCTACGTTTTGTTAGTACTTTTTTATGATTTAAACATACATATTTCTAAACAATGTTATTTGAGTTTTGCCTGTTTTTAACATTTATGTAAGTCCAATCTTAACTATGTTATTTAGTGACTTGGTTTTTCATTAATGTAATGATTTTGAGATTCATTTATGTTGATGTATGTGGCGATAGTTATTTGTTTTCACTATGTATATTATTCCATTATTTGAATTTATTAAAATTTATGGGCCTTTAGGTTGTTTCTGACTTTTTACTATTACAAACAATATATAATTAACATCCTCATACATGTGTGTTGAGTTTCTCTCAGGCGTATACCTAGGAATGAAATGACTTGGGTATAGCTAATGTATGTGCATCTTTATCTTTACTGGATATTGATAAGTAGTAATTTCATTATCATTTAATTATAAATATTATATAATTTTATAATTTCTGATTTGACCTGTGAGTTTGAAGTGTATTTTTAAAATTTCCAAATATATAGAATTTTTTGCTATCAATTTTTAACTTAATTGCTCTATAGTCAGCTAATAATGTCTGTATCTTACTAATTCTTTGGCATCTGTTGAGAGTTTTGCTTTATAGCCTAATGTGTGGTCAACGTTTAGCCAGGTTTTAGTCAGTTTTTATAAATATTCCACATATGTTTAAAAATAATTGATTACTGGGGCCAGCCCGGTGGCCAATGGTTAAGTTTGCGTGCTCCACTTGGTGGTCCAGGGTTTCACCGGTTTGGATCCTGGGCGCAGACCTAGCACCACTCATCAAGCCATGCTGAGGCGGCGTCCCACATAGCAGACCTAGAAGGACCTACAACTAGAATGTACAACTATGTCAGAGGGGCTTTGGAGAGAAGAGGAAGAAGAAGAAGAAAAAAGGAAGATTGGCAACAGATGTTAGCTCAGGGCTAATCTTTAAAAAAAAATAAAAATAACTAAAAATAAATTGATTATTTAATTGTTGGGTACTTGAGTCTATGTATGCTTATTAATCTTCTCTAATTTTACTAATTATTTTTTGTCTGAGACAGTTATAGTAAAATCTTCCCATTATGATAGTAAATTTGTTTCCCATAAATACAATCATTTTTGCTTTACATATTTTGAGGCTTTGTTATTAGGTGCATACAGGTTTTGAATAGTTTTATCTTCTGCTAAATCCTGTTCGTCTGTTTCTTTTACTATTATGTAATGATCCTCCAATACTTCTTTACATTTTCCAACAATACAATAGCTATTACTGGCTTTTTAATCATGTGTGTTTGCTGGTATTTTTTTAATATACCTTAAATTTTTCTTTATCCTGTTTGTTTTTAGTATGTCTCTTGTAAACTGCATAGAATAGGACTTCGTTTATTCAATCTGAATTTTTTATCTGTTAACTGCTAACTGTAGTCTATTTACATTTATTACCATTACTGATCTCTCTCTGCTTATTTCTACTATCTTATTATCTGTTTTCTATTTACCCTGCTTTTCTCACTGCTTTTTTTTTTCCTTCTTACTTGTCCTCTCTTGGTTTGAACAACTTGTCTTTATTCCTTTTTTCCTTCTACTGATTGCCCTTAAAAGTTTAACATGCATTTGGCTTTGCAAAGTCCTTTTTAAAAATCAGTATGTCTCCTGTTCTGAACAATATAAAGACCCTGGAAAGCTTTAACTCCAGTTACCCTCCACCAGTGTTATATGTTTTTGACCAGTATTTTACTTCCATTTTTTAATCACTCAAGTTAGTCTTTGTTATTGCTGCTATTACATTTCATTTTTATACTGACTTTCATTGTTTTCTAATACCCAAGGAGATTGTGAGCTCCTTATTTAAACTGGTTTTCTTACTCTTTCTCTTTAGATTTTCAAAAGAAACAACCAGACGATGATTCTGCCCCAAGTACAAGTAACAGCCAATCAGATTTGTTTTCCGAAGAGACCACCAGTGACAACAACAATACCTCGATAACCACGCCAACTCTTAGTCCCAGCCAGCAGCCGCTTCCGACAGAACTGAATGTAACTTCACCAAGTAAAGAGGAGTGTAAGTGCCCAGATCCTGTGAAGTGGTAGAGAAAGCAGCCCAAGAATCATGTCATGAACTTCTTGGTAATGCCTTGTCCCAGAAAAGAAGTTAGCAGATCTTGTAATTTAAGATTATGTGTTGACATATAGGCCCAAGTCAGCAAGTTAGAGAATAAATTTCAGCCATTCATGGAGCTTAAGGTCTTCTTAAAAGATGGCCTTTTCTGATGACTGTCAAAGTACATGAGGTTTTGAACCAGTGTGGGGCAGTGGATTCATCCCAGAATCCACTAGGGATTTTTAAAACAATTTTAATCTTCAGCACCATTCCTGAGTCTAATTTAATTGGTCTGGAGGGAGGCCCAGGAATCTGTTGTGTTTAACTCTGCAGAGGATTCTAATGTGCAGCAGGTATTGAGAACCACTGGTCTAGAGGATGCATCCCTGACTTAGGAACCTTGGACTGAAACCTTGCTTTTGTCACTAACTGGGCCTTGACTGTTTCTAGGCAATTAACTGAGATAATAACACTATATACTTCATTGAGCATGGGGTATTTGAGGGGAGGAGGAGATGGTTTCTGTTACTGTTCTGTAAGCCCTCAGTGTTAGCATACTACTATCAAATGTGTGATGTGGAAGTCCATTGTCCACTTAATCTTCATAATACCATAAACATCTCCTTTAGGGCACAACTACAACTGACAGCGTTTGTTGAAAATTACAGGGATGTTATGACATTGCAGTTTTGCCTTTTAAAAGCTTTACTTAACAGGTTGAAATTTGGTGTTTCAAATTTAATAAATACCTAGAAATCCTTGAAATATGGTAGGTTAGAATATTCTGTCTACTAACTTTGGAAAGATTAACAGAGAAAAAATATTTATCTAAACCTATCACAAACCACAGTATTAGGTAAAATTGAGATTATAAATGTAACAAAGGCTGTAGTCCCTGTCCTTAAAGAATTTATTATTTAGCAGGGGAAAGCAAATGTATTTATGTTAGTGGTTCTCAACCAGAAATAATTTTGCACACCCCCGCCCCCAATGCTGCTAAACGTCCTATACTGCATAGGACAGCCTTCCACAGCAAGGAGTGTCCTGCCTTGACATGTCAGTAATGCCACGGTTGAGAAACCCTGATACGTGGTTGTTTGTACCCATTTTAATAATCTTTATTATGTATTAAAGACAGTGACTGTTGAAGAAGAGTGTTGGTTTACTGGAGAAAGTGGTGTGGAGACAGACACAAGGTGGTGAAAAGACGTTCTAGACAGGGTAGAAAGAGCTGTGGAGGAAAGCTGCGTGGAGTTCTGCAATGGCAAGTGACTCCTTCAGGGCCGTTTATGGAGGACAAGACTGCAAAGGCAGATTATGGCCAAGTCATAAAGCTCATAGCTAAGATGTTTGATCATGTAAGATGTTAATCATGTTTTTGAGCAGAATAAGTAATATTATTACAGTTCTTTTGGAGAGGTAACCTGGCAGCGTTGAAAAAGGGAAGGACTATACCAGAATAACATTGCAGAGAGAGAATTTTTTAAATATTATAACTTATTGAATAGAGGCCCAGGGGAAGGTGTAGGAATCATTTAAGAGGATTAAAAAGATGAAAATGGTAGTGGTAATATTAAGACAATAAGAAGTAATAATAATAATAAGAAGAAGACAAATTTTAAAAATCTGTTCGGGGTCATGTACTTATTGAGGAGCTGATGAAAGCTGTGGCCCCTTATCTCAGAAAAATACACAGCATACCGTCTGTTTATACTCTCTTTTGAATAAAATTCTTTTAAAGCTCACTGTGGGCTTTAGGTTAAGAACTCCTTGTCAAGGGAAAGGTTGGAGCTGGTCAGGATCTCATCTGGTGGAACCACATCTATTTGGATCAACACATACCAGGATCAGTTCACAACAACCCAACCTGAGCAGCCAAAATGCACCTGAGACTGAGATAACAACAGCTACCGTTTATTGAGTGCTTTATGTGCAAGACATTGTTCTATATGTTTTGTATAGTTTATCTTTTGTTCCTCATGACAACCCAGTGAGGTAGGTACTATCATTACTCCCATTCTGTGGATAGAGAAACAGGCACAAAGAGATCAAGTAATTTGCCTGTGGTCACAAAATAGTAGATACCAACCCAGGATTCAAATTCAGGCGTTTGGCTTCAGAATCCATGCTTGTCATCAGTTAATTCACAATGTGAAATATAACTGCCACAGAGAACAGAAATATTCGTGTTGGCAAGACCAGCACTTTTTCTCTCTGTAATTAAGGTATGTGGAAACTCAAATCATAACCAAAAGTTATTCTATAATTTATCATGAAAAATCCTTCTAGCAGGGATTAGAAATAAAAATATATCCATGTGACAAACATTTTCTCTGGAGGCAGACCTTTATGGGAAGCCAACCCATAACAAGGATTTATATAGCAAATAGCAAAGCGTGGAGTTAGGTGAAGTGAACTTTTAATTGAGTCAGGCTGATTGTCAGGTGCTCTTTAAGGACATAGAGGAAAAGTCTTGCATTCAGTGCAAGATTCCATCTTCATACCCTTTTCCTCCTCCTCATCCTGGGCTTAGACCTGCCCTGAAGTCTGGAGCCCTGAGGACAGAACACTTCCTGTGTTTCTGTAACTTGCCAGTTTAGGCCACTGTAGACTGCCATGTTTTTTCTTTTGCTATATAAATACCTTCAATCTGATTAAGGATGTCTAATTGTACTAGCTTCAGATCCGTTTGTGGTGACTTCACATCTTTACGACATTGTATGTTCATGTTCCAGTTAAGCTCTCTGAAGCTAATCTTATTTCCTAATTCTTTTGGGGCTTGCTATTGTAATCCTTGGGTTTTCACAGATCTGGGGAAGTGAGGAAATTTGCTAATCAGAGATATGACAATGACTTAAGTGTTCAACTGGGCAGTTTGAGTTGGAGCGTGGGAGAGAGCAGTCAAAGTCAGGTTCATCCACATGGAGATGATAGCCGAAGGCTAAGGGGTTAAATGAGATTGCCAAGGGTGAGAGCAGAGCAAAGCAAAGCAGTGAGTGAAACCAAAACAGAGGAGGCAACTGAAGAAGTCAGAGATGGGGAGAATGATAGTGGGCAAGGTCACAAAAGCCGAGGAACAGATGTCAGCTTATGGTGTGGGCTTTAATAATAATAATGAAAATGTTAGCTCGCATTTATGAAGTGTTAGCTATATTCTAAGCACTCGTCTAAGCTCTTTAATGTACTCACATTTAATTTTCACAGTACCTTGTGAGGTAGATGCTTTTATTATCCTTTTTTTACAGATGAGGAAGTTGAAGCATAGAGGGGTTCAGTAACTTCTGCCCAAAGATGCAGAGCTCCTGCTTCTCAGTGTAGCTCACATTTCAACCCACTAATTTGGCTCCAGAGCCTGTGCTTTCAACTGCGGTAGAATATTGCCTCAGTGTTGTGAAAATGCTGCAGAAACTGTAAACTGACAAGAGACATTTGGATTTGGTGATCATGAGATTGATTTAATAACCTGTTTCAGTGGTTCGTGAGTTCATTTAGCAGTCTTTGCTGAGAGCCCACTGTATGTTAGGCACTAGGTTAAGTGCTGAGTACAGAAATGAGTAAGATTAGATCTCTACCCACAGGGAGGTCACCTTTTCAAATATATATGCCTCTCCCTGAGATTATGGATTGTTCTCCCAGACAGGTGCATAGGAATTTTGGGTGAAAGGGAGGCAACAGCAGGAGCGGTGGTTAATAAGCATGTCATTTGCAAAAGCTTTCTCAGGTGGATTTTGCTACCTCACCTAGGTGAAATCTGTGCTAGAGTGAGGAGATTTGTGCCTGGTTTGTGGGTGAAGGATATAGGGATGAGAAAAATAAGAAAGGCTTGTTAAAGCTGTCAAAGCTGTCAGGGCAGATGCATTATAAGTCAACATGAGATAATTAAAATGATTGCCGAGTAGCAGTGAAGACCCAGGTGAGATTAGACAGCCTGATCCATTGACACCTTGCAAATTTCTTCAGCTGTGAACTACTTAAGAGAAGAAAGATGGGGGAAGAGATATCAGGGGATTACTTATACTGATCTTTTAGTATCCTCAAGGGACCAGAATTTTATCTGTTGGTCCTTCTTAGCTTTCCCTAGATGGGTATGAAGAAGTAGAATGTGGGAGTTACTGGAAAATGAGTTTGGGGTTCCAAATCCAAGTACTACATAATTTGTAGACTATACCGTAGTTGTGGATCCGTTGTTATTGTGTAGAACTGGAAGTGCTGTGTCTTCTTTGGGACTTGTGAAAAGGTTTTACTTTTTCCCTATTAATCAAGAGAATAGGTGTTGCTTATATCTGCTTTCTGTTTCTCCCTGTTAAATGAGTATGTGAACAGAAAGGTGATGAGAGTCTGGGTACGTTAATGCTGTTTTGAAAAGACTACAGATGGAGTAATAACCATTGACAAAAGTGTGTAAAGCAGAGAAACAGGACAGATTTTTACCCAAAAGAATTTCTTAAAACACCTGACTGAAGGTCAAATGAAACATAACCAAAAGCTCCAAGTGATATTTCTTTGTCTGAACACACACATCTCTTCCTCTGCCATTTTGCATGTGTCTACAGAAGAGTCTGTGGAACTTTAGCCATTAGAAACATGTTCAAAAAACAGAGTAAAAATTCAAATAGTGACCAAAGGACTTGTCACAGCATCTAAATGCTATGATAATGGTAACAGCTAACACTAGAGTACTCATCAAGTACCAGGCACTGTTCCAAATACTTTGTCTGTGTTAAGCTACTTCCTCTTCATAATTACCCTGTAAGATGTGAGTACCATTAACCTATCTGTTTCAGAGATGTGGAAATGGAGGCACAGGATGATTCAATATCTTGCCCAAGATCACAGAGCAGCCTGGCTCTCCAGCACCACAGCATAGTTGCCTGTCTCTATGGTGATTTATAGTATAAAGGAGATTGCATGCAAATACAAACTACCAAAGAAGAGGTGTTGCACAAACAAAAAGAACGAAA